TAGCAAATTGATACGATTCGCGACGCTACGCTTGGATCGCTCGGATGTTGATCAATTACCGTAATTGTTACTTTCCGCGTGCGGAGGCTCGTCACGCGACAATAGCGAACCGGCTCCTTCGTGACGGGCATCCTTGTAATCACGTTAAAGCGCATACCTACGAACAAACACGTTCCTCGCACTATTCTCGCAACCGCTGTCTCGTTTACCGCTGCCCCAACCTCCGATCGCTATTTTTTTCTTTTTTTTTTTTTTTTTTTTTTTTCCCACGTTCCCATCCCGGACATTAGCACCGTGTCGTTTCCTTTTCCCGTTGCCTCCTCCCCGTCGTCGAACGGTTTTCCCGAAACTCCGCGTTACGCCGTAACGATGGAATGGCGCAGGGTGGCGAGACCGGACGAGGTCTCGGAATCCGCGGAATATCGGACAAACGAAAAAATCTCCGATACGTAAAGCGAAGAATACGTCAAACGCGCTCGATACTTGGAATACGTTGTCGGAAACGGATAACAGTTTCCATTACTCGCGCGATTCGGACATCGAAACGGTCTACCTACGACTAATCGAGAAACGATTCGCGGTTCGTACGCGTCGCGACTACCGTTCCGTTCGTTTGCCACCCTCGGTCTCGGCTAATCGATATCGACGAAAAAATCTACGAGAGACAGGGAGACAGAGGGCGGTCGAAACATCGAAACGTTCCAACGGTCGTTTTTCTCGACGAAAAGTCTCGCATCGTTTGCTCTCTTGTTTCAGATACGACCTAGAAACGGACAAGCTTTACTCCATCACGTGGTACAAGGATCACGAGGAATTCTACAGATACGTGCCTAGAGGGGAACCTACGAAGCACAGCTATCGCGTCGAGGGCGTTAAAGTTGACGTGAGTCGAAAGCCCTCTTGTGTCCCGCAACCTTGTGTCGCGCAGCCTAGCCCCGCGTTTCCTGTATCCGACCTTCTCGCTCCCGTCTACCACCATCCGCTGTCCGCGTCTTGCTTGTCTTCTGCCTCGCGGATTATCTCGCCGGTGGCCGATCGGCCCGCGATTAATCCGCCATCCCGACCGAATCGTCTCGCGAGCTACGAACTCGCAGTTTCGTGGCAATGGAAATTCCGTTTACGAGCAACCGAGGAAACGGTATCGAGGGAGCACGGTTACTCGCGTCCGACTTGGATATTCGACGCGAATACGCCTCTCTCTTTGCGCGTTACGAGATGCGCTGAAACGCTCGCGATTACCTTTGCGAATATGCGTCGGCGGATCGATCCGAGGTAAACATTCCGCGAATGATGGCCTTTTTCACGGCATTGCCAGACCGTCGCGAAATAGCAACTGCTGCGCGCCGTCGGGGTAGCCGGCGAATTATTCCCCGATTTTTTCGTCTCGCGGGAATCACCGTGGAAAGTCGTAAGGACCGTTTACGCAGGTACACGGCCGGGTGGTAACGACTGGTTGCGTGCCGTTGCGAGTCGTAGCGAGTCGTAGCGAGTCGGCGAGAAATTGGTCGGACGGTCGTAAAGGCGTTCGTTTAGTCCGGCGGCGAGGGAACAACGAGACGAATATCGTCGAGAGAATACGCATTTTCGCGAGACCCCCCGCGAGCCCGTCCGACGCTGGAGAACCAGAGGGAACGATGGCGCGCGCGAGCGCGTGTACGACCGCGACCGTGCGGCGATAAACTAGGCGAGTATTCGAATATCGAAGCGTTTGGCGTGGCGATAAACGTAAAGTCCACCACCTTTTGCCGGTTTCGCGCCGCGTGTCGCATTCGGACTCCGGTCGAAGGCGCATTCGGTCGCGGTGACGCGCGCTCCACCGCGACACCGGATCGCGTAAAACCGAAGCGAAGAAGCGAAATCGCGCGACTACCGCGCCACGCGGTTTCCAACGTAAGGACCCCCTATTCAATTTCCCCTTTCGAATTTTATTCGACGTCGTCTATAAAAGTATTTCATCGAGCCGGAGTCGGAATCGAAGATATAGGGAGCAGAGCATACAGAGGGTGAGAGAGAGTGGGGAAGGTAAGAGGGGTTGGGGAGAAGCATAAAGTTGGCGATACCTTGCGATATACGTGGACGGGTGGGCGCGCGTTGTCCCCGCACAGCCGGAACGAGGTCGCCTTTATCGTCCCGAATAAATGTTTGACGAATCGGGACGACGACGCGACGGGGCTAGAGAGAAAGAGGGAACAAGACGAACGGTGTCTTGTCGGGAGAATAGCTACCGACGGTGGGACTTGTAAAGGGTGGAAAAGGGAACGAAGGATAACGGATAGGAGAGGAAGAAGAAGAAGAAGAAGAAGGTCGAGGATGAAAGATAAAAGAAGCGAAGCGTTGGCTAACCGATCGATTTCTCGGATCGCGCGATGCGGTCCCGAAGGCCGTGGAAGGTGAAACGGATCGCACGAGACTCGTCTATTCTCGGTACGATACGTCCGCTTCCGATTCGCGTTTTGGAAGGCACGAAAGTTCCGTTTTCCTCGACGCTCGTTAATATCGGCCGACGCGTAACGAGCATTACGTGAGCAGAATCGGCTCATCCTTTCGCTCCTCGTTCTCGAGATGGAGAAGAGGAGAGGAGGGAAAAGAAGAAAAGAGGAGAGAGACAGAGAGCACGGCTATTAATCTGACTCGGTCCAATGGCTCTCCGATATCGACAAAGAAATTTCTCCGTGGACAAAAGCGAGCGTGTCTTTTCACCCCCTCCGTTCCGGCCATTCCTCCACTCGGATACGCTCGCGTGACACTTATTGGAGTAGCAGGAATTAAGTGGATTTAGCGGGCAGAGTCGTATATTTCTACTCGCTCTCTCGACTTTTAATTTTCCCTCTCATTCGCCCTTTTGCTCCGTTACGTAATACCGCTTAATTTCGCTATCCGAAAATTTTAAATCGCCCCATCGTGTTCCTGCGCGTTTATTCAACCGGGCTAGCCCGCGGCCCGGTCCCGTCGGAAGAAGAGGAGAAAACGGTGAAGCAGGCTCGCGATTACCCACGAGCACCGGCCGAGTTTCGCGACAAACTAATCGACCACGAGCAGAGGCGATTAAACGCTCTATCGGGCGAAGATGGTCTCTCGTCGTCGCGGTCGACGACCGCTTCCAAACGCCTCGCGCTAATCCGTCGTTGCTCGATTCCCTCTTGGCCCAAACACGCGACGAGAGCCGCCGCGGTCGACTCCGGAGGAGCGGAAACTTTTCCACCAATGGCAATCGAACGTCGAGTCTCGAATTCCAGCGTCTCGCTCTCTGTCTCCTTCTCATCCTCGGGAAAAGGGTACTACGTCTACCGAGGCAACGATCCTCCTTCCGTTTCATTTCGTTTCGTTTCGTTTCGTTTCGCGTGACGACGCGTTTTCGAGGAACGTGGCCTCGCGCGAGCGGAACAGCGCGCGAAACGAGTCACGTTTTATCGGGACGCATCCGCATCGGACGTAGCGACGTGCCGCGTCGTTCCCGCTGAATCGCAGACACGCGTTTCCCTCGTCCTCTCTTCCCATCTGGTTCTCTCCGTTTCCCGAGCGACCTAAATCGTTCGGTCGAACAGTCGCGTTCGCTGGACGAAATAACCCCGAAGGTAATGCGATTCCCGCCAACGTTTCGACTTTCCTCCACGCTCGTCCTCCCTTTCTCTCGTCTTGCCGCAACTTTTCTCGCCGAACGTAAATCGATTTGTCGAAGGAGGAAAGTTTGCGTTGGACCGAGGCTGGCTGGAATCAACGTCGGCGTTCCTCGGCTATCGCTGAAAACTCGATCGGCGTGCCGCTTCTCGTCGAGATTCCGTCCGATTTCTCCGAGCGGTCGTCGCGCGACGTCGCGTGCCGTCCCGACGCGCGGTTTCCCAGCCCGATCCCGTGTTTCGTCCATTGGAGAATCGGAGATTACGACGCGACGAGCACATGGAAACGGGGACAAAGAGAGTAGAGGGTGAGAATATTCGTAACGGGAAGAGCAAAAAGACTGGCGCGTGGGGTAAATGGATTATCAGCGTCGCGATTCCATCTATTGCGGGTCTTCTCCCTTTCCGTGCTCTCTCTCTCTCTCTCTCTCTCTCATTCTCTTTCTCTCTGTCCTCGACGTGCTCATCGTGGCGTTTCACGAGGTAGGAAACAGCGGCGAGCAGACACGTCGGCGGGGTGGTATCGGGATCGGCGACGAATAAATCGGTCGTTTCTTTCGATAACGAGAAGCCGCTGCAAAGTTATCGAGCACTTTGGTCGCGCGTCGTAAGTGGACGGCGAACGGTAGCGCGGTTTTCGCGCGACGCGCGGTCCGATCAGCGACGTACCTTTTCTACTTGCCACCGAAACAGGTCCGCCGTGTACCATCCGTCTCGCCGAAATAACTTTCGGCACACTAGAGCCGGTACACTGGCGTGGCAACTATGGCAATAAATCGATATAAGCGGGTAAGCCTCTTACCCACCTAATAGCGTAATATTCTGTCTATGAAGAATAATTTGGAGCGGCGTCTGGGAAACGGTGGAACGAGCGCGGCCCACGCGGACGATCGGACGCGGACGGGGCGCTGGCGCGCGCGTGCAAGAGTCGCGAAGCTGCGGAAAAATTGATGCGAAAATGGGACGCGGCTTTTCGCTCGGTCGATCGAACGAACCGAACCGACATACGAGGTTCCATCTCGTTCCATTTGTATCGGTAAACTTTGGAACGGATAGGGCAGCGGCTGTGGCGGAAAAGGACCCTCGCGGATGGAACGCGCGTGGACCGACACAGAGGCAAAGGGTTTTTTTCCGGATGGCCGGCAGAGAGAAGTCGCGCGTCCACGCCAGTGCTCGGCATCGATCTCGGCTGTCGCGGCCACGAGATACCCCGCTCGGCGAATAAAACGATCTTGCCGGTTGCGATCTCGATCGAACGCGTTGTCGCGCTAGGGAAAAGCCGGCAAAAAAGGCAATCGAGCGGACAATTATCGTTGGCGATTCATTGATCGACGTTGATCTTGTTTCAGCACCGACAGTCCGATCAGCAGCAGGTATTGCTACAGGACGTGAGCCTGCACAGTAGCGGCAAGTACAAGTGCGAGGTGAGCGCGGAAGCTCCTAGCTTCAACTCGGTCAGCGCGGAAGCCAACATGGAAGTCGTAGGTGGGCAAATCGGTCCTCCTGGACCTTTCTTCCTTCGTCCCTCTGCCTCGCTCTGATCTCTTTGGGTCCCGTTTCGAATCCGGTCACAAACAGCTCCGCTAATTAATAATCCTTTGATCGCGATTATCGAACCACCGTAATGCGAACCGAGCTTTCGTCGTTCGCAAAAGTCGATGATCCCCCGTTTCTTCGATCGGTCGTTCGTCTCGGGAGGGGCGGGGGGGGGGGCGCTAACGGAAGGAGGAGAAAAATGTCGGACGAAAAATATTTTCGACTCGGATCCGTGGTGAAAAGATCGTTTGGACGAATAATCGAAGACGCGGAGGCGGGTCGAATCGGAGAAGATCGGAAGGGGAGAGACGCGTACATCGCTGCCGTCGTGCGGCTTCGGTTTTAACCGGCTCGCGCTTCCATCCCAGACCTACGACAAGGGGGAAAGTTCGATTCTCCTTAGAGGCAGAGAGCGTTAAATTTTAGGGTGGCGCAAGGATGGGAGGGTGGCGGGAAAGTCGGACGAATATTACGGGGTCGTAACGTTAGGAGGCCACGGGCAGGCAACGGGTAGCGAGGAAGAAAGAGACGAGAAACCGTAAACGGAAAGGAAAGGGGCTTCTCTCGAGCGTAAATGCATCGTCGGCTCCGGTTCTCCGAAAGGAGTCGCGACGCGAGAGACTAAAGGGCCGCGGCGTAGTAGCGTCTTCGAAAGGCTTTCCGTGGCGCCTTCGGAAACGATGAAATTTCCTTTCTCCGTCGCGTTCCTCTTCCCGTAGTCCAGCCGCGCTCTCCGACCCATTCACGATCGATAACCCACCACGTACCCGCCATTACCCGTACCTTTACCGACCTCGTGGAAAATTTCGTACGCGGCAAATAACCCGCGGGCCTCGTTCGTGCCACCGCCGAATTCCCCTTCTCTCTCTCCCTCTTTCCGTTTCACGCCCTTTTCTCCTTTCGCACCTTTCCTTCGCGTTACCTCTTTCCGCGAAACCGATGTCCCTCGATCCGCGAGTGGCCGACGCGTTTTCCGCGTTCTCCGCGAATTTCAATTCGCCGCGCATCCTCGCTTCTCGTTTCGGGAAATAGCGCGCGTACGGTAACATCGGTCGGTGGAACGGGATAGGGGAAAACGCGAACGGGCTGGCTCCGTAAAGCCGACGGCCGATCCTCTCTCGATAACTGCCGGCAAAAAGACGACGCCGACGACGCCGACGACAACGACGACGACGACGGAGAAGAAGAAGAAGCAGAGGGAAGAAAGGAAAGCTCGACGTCCCGTTGTAAGCCGAGTCGCGTATCTTTGCACGAAAGGTTGAACGCGTAACGCGAAAGGATCAATCCGGTAGCAGTCGCGCGAATGGCTTCGTTGAATATTCTAAGCGGGGCGGTGTCGTGACAGCTTCGAAGGCTTATCGGCGGAGATGAACCTTTATCGCGATCGTGCTCTCGAAAACGATGCGACGACGGCGGGCCGTTTCCTCGAACCGGTCGAGAGATTAAATTCTCGAATCGCGAACACGGAAAAATCTCGCGACTATGCGTCCGTCCGTTCGTCCGTTCGTCTGTTCTATTTCGCGTGGACGGAGCTTAAAATACGGGGGCGAGCGGAGGAAGATCGGCGTCGAAAGCGATTAACGTCATTAACGACGGGGACCCTTACCGTTATCCGTCGTTCGCGTAAATCTCGTTACGAAAGGAGCTTTTATTAAAAAGCCACTGACGGATCAGAGCGGGGCAAAGAGCGGGAAAGTAGGGGAACGAGCGATGGCGCGTAAACGTTGTCGATGCGATTGCAGTTTTGCCGCAAGACGGGCCTTCGATAACCGGCGAGGAGAAGGTTTACGCCACCGGCGATGTCCTCGGGCTGAATTGCACCAGCGACAAGTCTCGGCCCGCCGCCACTCTCAAATGGTTCATCAATGGGCATCAGGTGAGAGAAGCGCGTTCCCTCGCTTCGAGGAACTCGAGGAAATCGTGAAACGAACTTGGACGACGTCTTGGTTGCCGCGTAACGGTCGAGTCGAGATGGTCGTATATAGTTGGACGCACGGTCGAAAGTTATAGATAGTCTTTAGAGCGAGCCGAAAGCTCGCAGGGAAGCGAAGCGTGCTGCAACGAGCAGGACCCAGGGATCGTTAAACGGAAACGCGAGCAAGAGAGAGAGATAAAGAGAGAGAGAGAGAGGGAGAGAGAGGGAGAATGAACGAGCGCTTAGGTCGGTCGGGAGCGACGATGGCATAGGCAACGATACCGGCAACGACGACGATGCTTGATGAGCTAAAGCTCCAATTAACGAACGCTACCGAAAGCCGTGGGAGAAAGCGCGTATAGTAGGGCACAGTCGACTCTCTACATCCGTTTCTCTGCATCAACGTGCCACCACCAACCACCGCTTTCCGGAACCGTTCTCTTTTACTTCGCCTACTCGGAAACTCGACGACTTCCACTGCTCTCTCTCTCTTTTTCTCTTTCTCTCTCTCTCTCTCTCTCTCTCTGTCTTTTTCGCTCTTTTCCGACCACGGCGAACCTGGAGGCAGCCTGGAAAAACCGGAGAGAAAGAGCGAGAAAGAGGGCGAGATCGCGGGAAAGAAAGAAACGGACGAGAAGGTAGAGAAGGCGAGACGAAGAGACGGTTCGGGTGGAACAACGAAATTCGGGCAACTCGGTTAACTGCTAATTAATCCGCGTCACGTAGAGGAAAGAAATCTAATTCGGCGGCGAGAAAGGTGGTGGTGTTAGGCGAGAGTCGTGGTCGCGTCGGACAAAGGAAAGACGCGATCGAATTTGGCGTTTCGATCGCGGTTTTCGCGCGATCGCAGCCTCGTCGCTCGGGGGGATTTAAAATATAATCCGCGCAAAGCGGAGGCAGTTGAGGCAGGCGCGCGCGAGCACGGTGGCGCGAGCGGATACGCGTTTAAAGATTACGTCGATGAACGTTGGGCGCCGCTTTAGGGCTTCGCGACGAATCGCGCGCGTCGCGCGGAGACTCGCAAAGTTTTCCCTTATCCGTTCGCTGTCTCTTCCTCCCAGTCGCTCGGGCAAAACTTGCCAACCTTCTCGACGATGTCCATTAGGAGTTGAGCGAGTTTAACGCGTCACTTAACGCGAGTGGAATATCGTTTCGAAAACGTTCTCGTCTCGTCGAGTTTCGAAAGATTCGACCGGCGACAAAGCCGACGGGGATGGCCCTTTCCTCTCTCTCTCTCTCTCTCTTCTCGACTTTCTTCCGTCGGTTCGTTACGCCCGTCGATCTCGCGCGCGTTTCGCCTTCGGTTGCACTTAGTCTTCGATTCTCCTTCGATTACCCGCGGGACGTGGATCGATCTCTTCCTCGCTTCGATCATCGAGTCGATATTTGCCGCGTGAAACGCGCGCGATTAAAGCGTTCGCGACGCGTTTCGAAGGTATACGGGACGGGGGATATCGAGATATCGGAAAGGGAAGGGGATCAAGGGAAAAGGGTGGGACGAAACGGGTAACGAGAGAATAAAAGTTCGAACGAAGCCGCGACGAAAGGGACGGAGCGATGATTTAATTTCGAGACTCGCCTTCTCTCTCGTCGGTCCTCTTTGGTCTTCTACTCCGTTCACCGCGAAGAGGAAAAGAGACAGGCGTCCGATACGCGCGTGGTTCTCGCGCGAGGAAATTTCGTCGCGGAGACTAGACGCGAGGTTCCGTGCGCCAATGTTCCGCGGTGGTGAATCTCGTTTGCGTCACGGGGAGGGGCACATCGCGTTAAATCCCGCTGAATCTCGCTAAGCGGAACAGCGCGTGAATGGCTGCGATGTAACTCGTGAATAGCTGCAAAGTAACTCGCGAATAGCTCGCGAATATCGCGAACGCTCGGTGCCGGATCGTCTCGGTTTTCGAGACCGATCGCCGTTATGATCTCGCACTCGATGGAACCCGGGGAACACGTCTCGTCGTTGGTTCGTTTCAGGTGAAACCCGACACGGAAATGATGTTCGAACAGCACGGACTCAGCTCGGTGATATCCAGTTTACGACTGCAGTTGGAACCGGATCACATCGCCGACGACAAAATAAACGTCAGGTAATTTCGTTCTGGACAATCTCCTCCCCCCGACCACCACCTACTATCACCACCATCGCTACCACCATTACTATCACCACCAACACCACCACCAATACCACCACCACCATGACCACCATGACCACCACCACTCACCAATCACCGTATCATCACCGCGTCACTCTATACCATCACGACCATCGCCATCGTCACCGACAGCCAGCCATCGTCAGACCAACGATTAATGCGTCTCTATAAATTTTGTCGAAGATGCGTGGCGACCGTGGAATTGGATTCAAACTCGGACGCGCCGCTCGTCGACACGCGCACAACGGAAGTTTTCGGTAAGCGCCTTCGCCGTTCCGCTTCGTCCTTTCTTCGCCCGTACCCTCGCAGCGCGTCGCTCCTGTTCCGCCGTCGCGTGTCCCTTGGACTCGGCGCGCCGAGAAATAGAGATAGAGAGAGAGAGAGCGAGCGAGAGGGCGGGGGGACGAGGCGGCGGGAACCGTCGAAACGACGGACGCGTTAATTAACGCGAGCCTGACGGCGCGAGAAACGATTACCTCGTTATTTCCGAGCGAAAGAGGCGCAACCCCGGAGAAAGCGAGAAGACGGAAGGGGGCCGGAGAGCGCGAGGAGTCGCTTTCGCAGGAAATTAAGCATCGCTCGCGCGCTCCGACGAATTAAGAGGATGCTTTACGATCGTCGTTGTCCGTGAAACGGGCCCCTGCACCGGCCGCAAAGTCGGCCCGAGCCTCCCTCGAGACGCGAGCGCGAACCACCGAAATTAAAACAATAATTTACGCTCGTTTACCTTTCGCCTCGCGATCGCCTCTTTCGTTCCTTTCTTTTTCTTTTTCTTCTCCTTTCTTCTATCGGGGAGCGAGAGCGATCCGCGGCGAGCGTCGGTCGCGCTCGATCGCGCGTCGCGACTCGCGCCATTTCGTCCGACGGGGCAAAAATTAAACAGAAACGAAATCGAGAGAGAGAGAGAGAGAGAGAGAGAGCGGGAGAGATAATGGGGCGCAAGTAGCGGAGAACGAGACCCGATCGATGGCGAGAAAGGAACGGAAAATTTGGTCGTCGCCGCTCGGACGACGAGCGTTCGTCGGCGAAGGGTAAACGTCGGCCGAAATCGCCAAAGGGGATGGCACCGTGCGATCGAGAGAGAGAGAGAGAGAGAGAGGGTGGTGAACGAGGCCGACGAACGTCTCGACGAAATTGCCCCTAACGATCTTCGATTTTCTCGTTAGTCCGAGTCGTTCTTGGAAGCGACGTACGGTCGGTCGCGTTGCCGCGCCTGCCGCATTTCCCATCCTCGCTCTCTCTCTCGTTTCTCCGTCCCATCGTCAACCTCTTTGGCAACTTCTCGGGGATGGGCGAAAGTTTCGGCGACGCGATCGATCGGCGCGACCGATCGAAGATCGAGGAATAAACGTCCTCGTCGCGAGGGCGAACAGTCGACGACCGCGTCGGCTTAAAAACTCGGAATTTCCAGCCGCTTCTTCCTCCTCCGTCGAACCGAATCTCGCTCGACGGGTAAGCCAGCGCCCGATTGCCCCTTTTCGCCAAGGAAACGCAAAACTTTTCTGTTCCATGTTTCAGTGGAGGGAAACGCGAGCGCCGCGACGCCTTCCGTGTGCCTGACGATGGTCAGCGCGCTGCTTCTCAGTCTACTGCCTCCGGTTTAGGAATAGCGATCACCACGAGCACTCGTCGCGCGTGAAAGCCGCGCGGCTGGCCGCGCTCGCATCCGCGGAATCGGATGGTCTCGTCCGACACGGAAGAAGAAGAAGAAGAAGAAGAAGAGGAAGAAGAAGTAGAAGCAGAGACAACGAACGGCGCGGAGAAACCGAGAGGAAGGAGAAGGAAAGAAGAAAGCAAAGGAAAAGGCGGAAATCGGTGGGCGAAATCGCGGCGTGGAAAGTCGCGCGGCGACAGAGAACGAGGATCGGTGGTCGAGTACTCGGTCCGATAGGCGATCGATCGGGACAACGACAATGGGGCGAGAGTTCGTCGCGTGCGCGCGCGTGCGAGCGGATTATCGTTCCGTTTTACGGCACGCGACTCGAAAATACGATTTACGAGCCTGTAAGCCGATTAATTCGTACGATTCGACGTGCACGGGCTAGCGTAAATATTTGTCGAAAGCGCGTAGAGGAGCGCGGCCGACAGCGACGATTCTTTCCCGACCCGCGATTTCGACCGACGCGAGACTTGGAGGCGGAAGTCGACGAGCGGAAGCCGCCGACCGCGCGTGTCGCGTCTTGGCGCTCGCCACCACCCCGCGCATCGTATCCGTCTTTCTCTCTCGCATGATGCGCACTCGCGTAGCACGCAACGATACCTACGTGTACCGGTTATACGGCTTCGAAGCTTCTGACTCCCCGTTGTATCTTTCTAAAGGGCGCGACGCGATCGCGCGGTGCGAGCTTTCGCTCTGGATCGCGCGGGCCAACCGACTTCCCTTCCAGCCAACCAGACGTCTCTCTCCTGTCTCGTATACTTTGTACATAGCCCCGACGCATTTGCGAAATAGGTACCTCGTCGAAATTAGGGAAGCGAAGGAGCAGGTGGAGGAGGAGGTGGTGGTGATGGAGGAGGAGGAGGAGGAGGAGGAGGTGGAGGAGGAAGAAACGGAGATCGCGTCGAGGCGAACTTTATCGTGCTTTCCGTAGAAAGTAGGCAACGATCGCGCGTGGTTCTCGCGCGGTGAACACACGCGCGTCACCCTCCTCGCTCGACGACGTCCCGAGTCCCGAAATCGGACGGAGATCGCGTCACTTGTGTGTATGGCCTAATGTATATACGTATACGTATACATATATATACGCGTATATATATATATGTATATATTTCGCATATTTAGCAAATAAATCGTATTTCATTACAAACCGATTCTCGACAAACCATCCGACCGCCATTATCCCTCGAGCTAAACGATATCACCTTCCCCCGAGATCGTCCCTGTTCCTTCCCTCTGACCAGCCGTACTGCTCGGTTGCCCATTATCTCCTTCCTGCCCCCACCCCCCATTTACGTGTTCGCGATGAAACAGACGAGCGCGATTAGAAGATCCCGGTGTGTTCCGGCGGCGTGGCTCGATCGGCTTTCGCCGTCGGACGTGGAGGATCTCCGGGTGGTGTGTTGCAGCGATGGAGAAAGAATTAATGGTCGTTCGTGCCACGGGACGATACGATGCGGCAGAGGGCAGCGGGGATCGTCCAAGGGGCGCCCCTTAACTCGATACCAGGGAAATTCTCGAGAGGATAAACGGTCGGTCGGTCGACGCGAACCGACGCGAGTCTCCCGGAAGACGATCGATGCTAATGGCCCGTGCCAGACCAGCAGACGGCCTGCCCGTGTGCGCCGCTCGTCCTTTGAATATGTATCGATGGACGAACGCGCGTGCATCCTCTTTTCATCCTTCTTCGCGTCTTTCCATTTTACTACATCGGCATTCGACTTGCCACGCGACTCCACTCGAGCCGAGTCGACGAGAGCGCGTGGCCAGCACGCGTGGCGTGGAACGTGCGTCGCGACGGCCAGCGCCAGCCGACGAATCCGATTACGAGCGGTTAGCGTTCGGCGTCGCCTCTAATTTGCTCGATTCGTAAGCGAGCGAGTGTGTCGGACGTTCGTCGACTAGTCGAATTGGCAAAGCGGGAGGACGAGTTTGGCATCGAGGAGACCAGGGAATCGATGCACGGCAATTATAACCGTGTCATCGCCCAATTCCGCTTTGCCCCGTCTCGTCCCCACCCATTCCATCCCGTCTCATCCTGTCCCGTCCCGTCCCGTCCCGTCCCGTCCTGTCCCGTTTCGACTCGTTCCACCCGTCCGTACTCCATCCGACTGCCTCTCGTTCTGGTAGGATTCGTCACTTTACTTTGCCCGCGATACACGCCGAAAATACTTGAAACGCGTAACTGGAGATAGTCGATATCCGCTGCTGCGGGTCGACGACCGAGAAACGAGGTCGCGATCTCTCTTTTAAGATATTCCGGTGACCCGACTCTTTAAACCGAACGGATTCCACGTTTTCTCCTACTCGGCCAAACGCGAAGGATTCGCGAGCGCGCGCGTGTCCTGCGTCACGGAGGTCGTCGTAGTTGTCCGTACTCGGATAACACCCAGCCGGTGCTTTATTAAAATTATTATAATAACGCGAGCGAACGAGCGGGCAAACGAGGAAGCCAAGTAGAAGGCGAACGAGGAAGCGAGCGAACGCGCGGGCGCCAACAACCGAACCCCTATAATAAATTCTTTTCGTTTCGATCGAAATTGAATCTCGAGTTGATCGATATTCCGTTCGTGGTCCCGTCTTGCCGTCCTCTTTAATTAACTTCTTCGTCCACGGGGAGGCTCCTCCTTCTCCGTTCCTTTGTTCCGGCGTTCGCACGCCTTCGCGTATCCGCGCTGTCTTCGCCCTGCTACCACATAAATCTCAATTATTCCTTTCACCGTGTCGTCGTTTACTCGCCGCCGATCGGTTTTTATCCGCGGCAACTCTCCGGAGATCGGGAACGTTTGCAGGTGCGACGACGAACGGCCCTCTACCTGCAGCCGTGCGAGCGAGGATCATCGATACCCTTAAAAGTTTCGCTCCGTCGCCGCTCCCGACGATCGTTCACCGTCTTCCGTAATTTCTTCCATTTCTCGCCGCATCCTGAATTATAAAATGTCGAGGCTTCCAGCTACTCGTGCACCTGCTGCTCGTGAAAAACCGCACTCGGATCGATCGAATCACCGACGAAACGCGATATCTTCCGGCTGCTTGCTCCCGTCCCGGATCACCGAATAGCAACCTCGATTATCGCTCGTCGATAATCCGACGAGCTACGATTCCGGCCAGGAGAAAGCTCGTTTTCCTAGCTACCTAGGGCGTGTAGCAGGTCTAGACGCAATGGCGTCGTCGACTTTCTCGCGTCGTTGGTCCACCGCGCGAATGCGTCGCACGACGGAAAAAGGGAAACGAGTCGGTGCTTGGAGCGGCCGAATCTTCGCGGAGGGATAATTGGCTACGTCGGAGAGCAAAGTCCTTTGGAACGAGATTTCCGAGTTTGCTCGGACAAACGAACGGTAAGTAGAACCGTAGCTCGAGACGTTTCGCCGTGTTACTCTTCCTTTTTCTTCGGTTTTATCCCTCGCACCCACCGCGACTCGCCTATCTGCGACTCGAGAACGAACGGTCGCTCGGAATTTACGGGATCGAGATCGATCCCGGCACGATTTCCATGGAAATCCCTCGAAACTCGTTCTTTTCGCGAGGCAAGCTCCGCAGCCGTGAAATTTCCCGTACGAGGCGATTAGCGCGCCGAACTTTGTCCGCGAATACATGGCTGCGTCTGAGGCTGTACAGTCGCCGCGGAGTAGTAGTAGTAGTAGTAGCAGCAGCAGCAGCAGTAGTAGTAGTAACGAACCGCAATGCGACCAAACTTGCTTTTATTTTTCGTAATCCGATTTTACAATTATTTCTTTGTGACTGCTCGCTCAAAGCGTTTACCGTCTATAAATCCATAACGACGTTTCCCTTTTCCTGTTGCAGGACTAGAGAGGGGGGCTAGATACGAAACGCTCTCGCAAGGAAACGCGGGTTTCAGAGACGATTACCGATGAACAATGGAGAACGCGCGACGCACGAGGCACGCAGTGTTGCGCCCTTTGCGAATGCAAATATTAACACCGATTAGTCTCAACTCTTGTCTCGAATTTATTCGACCGGAATTATTTTCAACGTATATTCGAGCCAAGTAAAAGGTGAACGATTGGCGGATGTTTTATCGATTGCTCTCTTTGCCAAAGAAGGAACGGAGAAAATAGGAGAAGCTAGAAAAGGGAGAATAAGAAGAAGGGGAACCGATTGAATTCGGTGCAAATTGAGTTAGATTAAGACGGATTAAGTTAGACGCAAGTAGAACTGGAGAATTCCGATCGAGTCGACCAGAGAATCTTTTGATTTCGCTTTTCTTTTTTTATCCTCACCGACGTGATTGGTCGATCTTTAGTGACCGCGGGTTCGCGGATATCTTTAAGCGTCGGGCGTAGACACGCTTTCTAACTCGAAAACAGTTTCAGCTCGTATCTCGCAGCTCTTGCCAACTGCGTTAAAATAAACCGCCGAACCCCGCGATAAAATAATCGTTCCACGTCGTACACGATTACGATTGCGTCTCGCTGAATAGACGAGATTGCATTGGTTTCGAAAGTGCGGTGAAATTCCATGTAATCTGTGATGAAATTATAAAAATAAACGAGCGTTGAACGGTTGAACCCGAAAGTTGTTTGATAAAGAAATCTCGTCCCTTGCCATATCCTTTCCTCCTGACGTCTTCGGAGTCTGCGACTCGGGGAAAAAAGGAGAAAAAAAAGAAGGCGGGGAAAAGTAGAAAATTAGCAGCGTAGAGCTTTTAAAATGCGCGAGAGTTTGCCAGCTTCCGGAAAGCTGTTGGTATTCCGTGCCGTTTCCAACGATCGGGGGACTTCCAAGAATTTCGAAATCTCCAAGAATTTGCGGTCGTTTCTGAGAATTTCGCCCTGTTTCCAAGAATCGCCGAATTTCCAAGAATTTCCGAGAACTCGCGACCGTTGCAGTTTGTCGTGGAAACTCTAGGGATTCGTTCGAAAATCCAAATAAACATCGCCAGCGTAAACAGACAAGCCAACGTCGGTACACAGACAGGAACCAAAATAAAAACGAATTATCCATCGTTCCGAAACAAATTTCGATCGATGGCTGGGAAATTTTCGAATATCTCTAGAATTTTTATAACAAACAGGCCAATGTTTGTAAACGAGTTGAATGTTTAGAAAGAAATCGAATGTTTATAGACAAACTACCCGATTGTTCGCAAACAAGGGAAAAATTTCAATGCGACGCGCGAGACCGTTCGGAAAATTTTCGACACGATTCGCGAAAACTGGTGAAAACGAAAATCCGGGGATGCTAACGAGCGAATCGGCGTTCGTATACGAATAACCGATGTTCGTAAACAACGCGAACACGAAATTTGACGTCGTTTCTGGGAATCTCGGATATTATCGCGACTCGTATTCGCAACAACGCATAATATAACTAACGAACCACGATAATCGTTAAACCCCGGTACCCCTTGTTAGCGACTTATTCTTAAAGCCATTCGCGCGACTCGACTCTCGATCGCGATTATAATTCCGGTATAACTATAACTAGTCGTTATGTCCTATCGCGATAACGATTCGCGCAATTTGCCAGACAGACTTACAACGCGGCGTATAATATCTGTCTAAACTGTTTCTCGCGATACCTTTTCTTCCCTTTCTTCTCTATCCTCCGCTTCACTTTCCACCGCTCTCGGCGGCGCTGTATCGGAGAAAATAATCGGCTCGCGTTAATTTTTAATTCGTCGGGAAAACGTATCGGACGCGAAACGCTGCTAGTAAACGATGCTAAGCTTCGAGCGAGTATCGATAGACGGGAACTAAGGAAGGACGGACTGAAGGAAGGAAGGAAGGAGGGAAGGAAGGAGGGAGGAAAGTGGTTGGAGACGCAGCCTCTCGGAGCG